AAAGAACGCCGCTAGCGAAATCAACACACAACACTAACTTCTAAAACTGAAACAATCAGCGTCGCTTATCCGCGCTTGCCTTCCCCTGTTCTTCGCTGCAGCCTCCTTCTGTCCTTCTACACCTCCAGCTATCCTTCCCTGCGCCTTTGCCCAGTCCTCCCATCCCCTTTCCGCCTTTAGCAAGCTATAGTTAGATGACTTTGCCCGCAGACAGCACTGCAGCGCTTAAACGGTGCGCGCGCATGCGCAATATGCTCGCGAGAGAGAGGTCGGTATTTTGGGCTAAGTTTATGCGATTTAAAGTGAAGAGTACTTATTCTGGCATAGATTATATGATATAATATTCCATCAGTTACGATCATTTTAAGAAATATGGAGGAATACATGGCAATAGTAAGACGTCCCTGGCTGCGTCAATGCAGGGACAGATATCCAGCATCGCAAGCTTTGACGCTTAACTGCGGCCAGGACCGAGGGGGCCTAGGGGCACCGCTGGCGCAATATACCATTGTGCAGAGTGATTCCGGGCTACTGGTTTCTGTTTGCGTGGAGGTCGGGGTAATAAGGGCGTCACAAGCAGGGCCCTGGGTCCCCTTACGCACCCTAGCTATTATAGGGAGGGCTTTGGGTCCCGGCTTCTACACATACTCATATATATGGCCTTGTGGGCTGGCCAGCAATACAGCTATTACTACCAATACTAATATATGAATGTCATTAGGCCATCCGTCATCTGACAAGTACTATATATGTGGCTTGGCCGCCCACCATATATTGCAGCTAAATAATTACACTTCTACATAGGTGTCTGGCCTTAATCCCCCGGCGTCCATACAAATACTAAAATGTGCGTCCTTGTCGCCATGCATACACTATTCTTATTATTAGCTAATAACTCATATAAGCTGGGCCTTAGGCCCCGCGTCATTACAATACTATATATGTGGCGGCTTGGGCCCAGCACTTCAGAACTATTTTTTACGCATTCTATATAGGTGGCGCTTAGCCCCGTCATACAAATTTGAACGAGCCCGCCCGCGCCGCACCTATACACCGCTGGCTACAGAAGTAACTCTAGCCGACGTGGCTGGGTAGCTGTGTTGTGCTTCCTTTTTTTGCCTATTAAATAGGCTCTTATCTAAAGGCCTATCGGGTCTACATCGGCATTACCATGGTAATTGTTTTAGGGCATTACTAAAATACGTAAACTGCAAATAAGAACTCATTTCGGTCGGCGAAGGGTTGATTGTCGGAGTGGAGCTGAAAAGGCTGGAAAGCCATGACCGGCGGGGAATGAGGTGCGGCGCTACCAAGCCACAGTCTCTTGGATGTGGATTCAGTCTGTGCTTGCCTGTTATCATGGTACGGTCAATATATGTGTCACGAGATGGCGCTTCTTGCACTTACCCGAATGGCATGAGCCCGACGTTGTAAGCAAATCATCAATGGCGATGTCTCCTAAGTTGCCGCTACCCTTTAGGCCTTCGATCATGATCTAGATGAATGGTGTGATGTGCAGCAAACACCAACATTAACCTCGTTTACCTACTACGTGTGAATTAAAACTTGCGCGTAGGATCCCATTCGCCTCATCATTATTGTATAACAACATTTAGCATTTTTTTAATATAATTACATTTGATAATTTTGCATTTCCGCTGAATTTCAGACAGAGGAGCGATTGAATACATTTCTAGCGAGCAAATACCTCAGCTGCAGAAGAGGCCGTGTTGATTGTGATGTTAGCGAAGTTCCACTGGTTTCCTTTATCACCCCACGCTTCCCACACGATAGATTTCTCATCCGTCACCAGGCGCGTCCGCAACACACGTAGACCACCTACGTTCGATCCATACATGTGATACCTGAGGCGAATGAGTGAAGTGCGCAGAGAAAAACGGGATTAAATATAGTTACTGGTTATAGATAATCATATAGTATATGATTCTTCATTGTTTTGTAGAACTCTGTTCTGCATTATATTTCATAACAATATATATGTATATAT